CTACATAACTACATTTATTCTCTACAATATTCAATCTCAAACACATCTGAAGAAACTTTTTAAATTCGTGTATACTACATAATATTTTGTATGATGGAAAATATTCTCTATAATCAACTTCTTTAAACGTCTCGAGATGATCTTGGTCCAAATTAGTAACAAATTTAATATTTATTATTAATTGGGCACATAAAACAAAAAAAAAAAAAACAAAAAAAAAAACTTTGGCACATATAATAGGAAACTTTTTTCGCACCGAAATGATTTTTTTACCTCACTTTCAGCCGTATCATCCTCCAAAACCAATAAATCCATGTTCTTGTGATTAATGATGATTAATTGTGTGATATTTTTCCAAAGTAATGTCGATGAATACTTATAAAAAATAGTCTGAAAGAATAAGATGAGATATATTAGGTTTTGAATTTTTAAATAAAATGTCTACATTTACTAAAACTCTTCATGTGATATTCTGCCAATATAATGTCGTTAAATACTTATAAAAGAAAGGGATTTGACAAAATAAGATGAGATATATATTAGCTTTTGATTTTTTAAAATAGAATATCCTACATTTACTAAAACACGTTCTGCATTTATCACCACCCTTTTTATATTGATATTAGCCATAATTCCAATCAATATAAAATACCTTATATACCCTAACTAATTATTCCAATAAATTTATAAATACAAATCCCCTAATTAATAGCACCAAATCAGGCTCCAAATTCCCTAATTAATTACTCCAGATATGGGGAGTAATTCTCGTATATTTGGGAACTAATGTTCCCATCAAATTGGCTTTCTTTTTTTTTATTATTATTATAATAGTAAGTAATTTACATAATTTATTATATTTGGGAAGTAATTTATTCTGCATTATTTCATGAAGGAAAAAATCGAAGACACATGAAAACCGCTCTGTATAAATATGAAAACCACTTTGTATATGCATCTATATAAATATGAAAACCACTTTGTACAAACAGCTATATAAACACGAAAACCACTATCTATATAAACATAAAAACCACTATCTATATACAGTTATATAAAAACATGTACAAAAATTATTGAAAACCACTATAAAATTGTTGAAAACCACTCCGTATAAACAACTATATAAACATGAAAACCACTATGTATAAAACAACTATATAAACATGAAAACCACTTTATATACACAACTATATAAACATCGAAAATCACTATGGATTCTAACAAGAAAACATAAAAAATTCTACGAAAAAGAAGCTATAAAACCACTATAAATATTTATACAGATTTTTATAGTGGTTTATGTAAAAATATTGAAAACCACTATAAAAATCCGCGAGGGTGTGGATGTGGTGGTCCGGTGGGGCTGCAAGGGTGTGACCGTGTGAGTGTGGATGTGGGAGTAGGTTGTGAAGAAAAGAGGGAGAGAAAGGAGAAAAGAAAGAGACGTTACATAAATAAACAAGAATGAATCTCTCTCTACAGAATTTTGCAGGTGAAACTTTGCGTGTTTGATTTGAACGACCTCACACCACTTTATATATATAACAACAAAAATAAAAAATAAATAATAAAATATAAAATATAAGAAATGAGCTTGCGTGTTTTTACCTCCTCCACTTGTTTTTTGAGCGGGAAACGAAAGTTTATTTAATTATTTCTAACAAAATGTATTGAAATTTAAGCAAAGTTTATAAAAGCAGTGAGTATTTCTTTTAGGATTCGTTTGGTCAGGGGCGGACCGTGAGACGTTTAGGAGGAGGGGCGAAGCTTGCGATAAATAATAAAAATATAAAGAACATAAAAATAAATAAATACATATAGTTTTTTTTGACATTAAAGTATATATGTACGTAAAAAAAAATGGCTCTAAATAATTTTCAAAAATAAGAGATAAATCATAATTGTGTCCGTGTGGTGAAGAAGAGAAAAAAATAATTAATAGAGAAGAAACATACTGTAAAATTTATTCTTATTTTGATAACCTTTACTTGTTTTAGAACTATCTCCTCTTTAGAACTTAAATAAAATTAAGAAAATAATATACATTATTACCTAATCATATAAGAATGGGGTTTCAATTTTTATTCTCGGTAGTAGTAATCTAGCAGATTTTGAAGGAAAATTAAACTACCCAAGTTAATATTTAAATAACAAATTTCATATATATATATATATATATATATATATATATATATATATATATATAAAATGGAAACATGTAAAATTATTGGGGGGCAGCAGCCCCCCCTAGCTATATGGAGGATCCGCCCCTGCGTTTGGTTGATAAAGATGTCGTAATTAATTGAAAAGGAGAGTTACGTTAGAACATTTGATAAATTAATAAATTCGCTTAAATAATAATTTGTTAAGGGAACATATGTACTTTATCTATATTTAGAACATTTGATAAATTAATAAATTCGCTTAAATAATAATTTGTTAAGGTCCCTGCTCGACGAGAACATATGTACTTTATCTATATTTAATCTTTCGTTACCGAATTTTTCAAATTTTACGGAAACACATTAGAAAATCCCCTGAAATAGGACTTACAATCAGCATAAAAGCAGTAACCACCACAACCACTGTAAAATCTTTGATTTAATTGACAGTGGCCTCAAAATTACAGAGCTGAATGGAAGAACACACACTTCTATTAACAATTGGTAATTTCCTTCCATTTAGAGGGAAACAAATATACAAATTCACATTTCGATCAACGTTCGAATCGTTTCAAAAGAAGCCCCAAGATCGAACAACTTACGTGTAAATCCAATTCAGCCAAAAAATTCATCACGATATGTATCTATCTTTCTGCTTTTGAAGAAGCTTTGCTGAAGATTTCACATCCAGATATAGGGAATTCACTTCTTCAATATCCGCCTGTATAAAGGTACAACAAGTTTAATTTAAAAAAAAAATTTATTTTATGTTTCTCCTAAAAAGAATCACCGAAGAAATTACATCAAACGATCAATTTAATCACCTTGCAAATATTACCACGACCGCTCATTTTAGCAATTATGCTTGCAGGAGATAACAGCTGAACCGCATGCCTGAGAGAAAAAAAAATTAACGAAAAACAAAAAGATAAAAAAAATAAAAATAGGAGAAAAGGAAGAAACCGGTTAAGGAGGATTTAATTAGGTAAAAAAATTAGAAAAAGGGTAAAATAGGTTATTAATAATATAATCTATTAAATAAAATGCAATTGGATTTATCTCAAAAAGAGAGAAAAAAAAAGGATCTAGTTTAACGAGACAATGCATATGAGGGTGTTTTCCCTAATAATCCCATATATTATAACATGAATTCTATATTTATTTTTTCAAAAAAGAAAAAGAAAAAAAGACTTGGTAAATAGTTGTATATATATCGAAGCTACAATATTTACAGCCAACTCCCTGAGGTAACGTTGAATTATGAAAAAACCTCTCTTGTTTGAGTAATTATAACCAACTTATCAATTATAAATTTTCTTACACGTCCACTCTAATGATGTCAAATTCAACATAATTTTCTAGATTCCATGGGATGTTCTCTAGTTTGTACTCATTTGGTGCAAAAATGCAATTTCTGATGCACCACAATCTGATATTTACAAGTCAAGAAACATATCTTATGATTATCTTGTTTCAAAATGTGGAACTCGAATAAGGTAAAACGGGCATGCGAACTGGAGAATAGTCCACATAATCTAAAAGATTCCACTAAATTTGACACCACAAGAGTAGACGTGTAAGAAGATTCATAGTTGAAGGAAGTGGTTGCTGTAATTACCAAGCATGAGAGGGTTTTTCGTAATTTAACCTTACCTCAGGGTGACCGTAATTTACGCTGATATATATAGGATTACTCATTACCTGATATTGGGAGTTTTTGGTGTAGCTGTAAGTGCCATTACCGCCAATCATTGGAAACGATTCCGCCATATCAACTCTCGTCTTTTTAAGTGAGTAAATTAAATTTGTGAAACTTAGTTTTTCAGAAAGTTATGCGTTGTGATATTTTTAGTTAGAGAGAGCTCTATTTAAAGAAATCAAGAGTTTGACAGACTTCTGCATTTGAGTCTACTAAATTGGGCGAGAACTTAGAACCCTAATACTTGTCAAAGCATCTAGAAGGCATCTTTGATAAATAAGGGTATATGTTGAATAAAGATATAGGAATAAGGGTATACACATAAAATAAGGTAAATTACACCTAAGACTCGGAACAAATGATTTAACTATAATTTATGGCGATGACCAAAAAGGAAAAAAACATATTTTAAAAGTGACTTTTATTGGACTATAAGAGCTACTCCAATGCTAAATATCAAAAATGGATTATCAAATGTTCATTTGATATTTAAGATAATATTTTAAAATACATTTAAAACTCATATACTCCAACCATAGTAATCAAATTTTATTATCAATTGGAAGTTTTTTGATAATTTTATATGTAATCGCCACATGTCAATTTGTGATTGGTTGGTTAGGTAATTATTGTTTTGATAACTCAATCTCCAGGAAGTATTTTTAGATTCAAAGTGCTGAAATATCAAAATACAAACCCATTTTGATAACCCCTTTGAAGAACATTTTTTTAAAATTTTAGGAGTCAAATAGTAGTTAAGTGATTTGATAACTCATTTAATAACTCCATTGGAGTTGCTCTAATACGATCATCTTTATATGCAAATAAAATCAAAATTGCCCACGTTATGTGTACACACTTTTCTCCTGTCATGTTGCAACGGTTATCTCCACGTTATGTGTACACACTTTTGTTATAAAATCATCTCCAATACAAATCTTAAAAAAAATCTCCAAATGATATGGCAATGATGTGGCACTTGTGATTTTCGAGATTCTTAAGACGACACTCTGAAATTGGAGTTTCATCTTGAGGATCTCTAAAGTGTCAACTCATCATTTAATACGATTTTTCTTTTACTTTCTAAGAAAATATTTTGAGTCTTGTTGAATTAGAGAAGACTTTGCAGTATCGAATCAAAGATTTAAATAAAGGCAAAATATTACAATACTCGAGTCTCGACTCAATTTATTTACATATGATAATATTACACGAACATTTGAAGAAACTCCAAATTCCTCCGACGGACCAAAAAGAAATTGCATGAAAGAATACCAAAGTAGAAATTGTTTACAAAGCTCACACAAATGCTTCCAATAAATTAACCGGAGGATATAACTCTTCCGCCAAACTAATGACGAAAGAAGGTATCTTCAACATTAAAACGCCTCTCAAGAAGAAACAATGAATTGTAAATTCCAACATACCAAATTTTCAATTTAATTTCAATAACGCGACAAGCAATCGGCTCTCGGACCTCCATTCTTCGATTTATGCTCCGTGTGTAGGTGTCAGAGTATATTGCTGTAAGGCGGTACAACGTTAGAGAAAACAATCAAAAGTAAAATAAAACAACAAAAGTAGCAAAAGAATCAAGTTACGAAGATTGAGTTCTCACCAAGTTTCAACTTGAAAGTTGGGACCAGCCAGGCTCTCAAAGTGTCGATTCTGCGCGACAACTCGAACTCGAAGGCCAAGATCCTCTTGATCATCGCATATTCTTTTAGCAGAAATGGCGGCATCGTCGTGACACATATTCAACACAATCGATTGAAGAGTTGGTATTTCTCCAATACCTGAAGGGATCTCCTTCAACTTATCTAATCGTTGAAGGACAAGATGCTCAAGGCGTGGAAAGTGGGAGCTATCTGTCGTCCACCATTCCAGGTCACTACACATGTTGATTAGTAAGTATCTAAGGTTACAGAATTGCCCTTCAACCGTTTCCCACTCGGTCCCTACAAAGGCATCTGCACTCAGTTTGAGGACTTGAAGATTGGGCAACAAACCTATCTTTGTCTTCATGTCTTCCCAGTAGAATTTGGTCCCCCACAAAGTCAACTTCTTGAGGGAATTTGGGAGGATGAAATTATGCAGCAAATCGTCCCGGTTTGGCACACTTTGGGACAAAAAGGAGCAGCAGAAGGATTCAAGTTTACGTAGACGACAAAGATTGTCGAGACCGTAACTTGAACATCCCTCAAATTCCTTATCATAACATATTTTTAATTTCTCGATGTTGGGGATCCTCGTAACCACCTCTTCTCCACATTTGAAACTTGTTATTACCGAGAGCGTCTGTAAGTTCCCCAAAATAAACTCGCCATCTTGCCCACCGAGAGGAGGATCAGGCAGCTCAAGTCCATCGAACTCAACATGCCTAAGTTGAGTCATCTTCCAAATTTCAGATGGTGCAACAGCGCCAACGGTATCCTTTACAATTAAAGTCTGTAGATTCCAAAGGAGATTGACCGAAGAAGGAAACTGGGGATTTTGACGCCAGTCAACCCGGATAGCAATGAACCTCGAGTTAAATAGCCGAAAGACAACTTCTATGGGATATTTGTATTGTCTTTTCTCCTCGGAATGTAAATGCTTATCAACAGTTTTCAGCACCCTCAACAATCTAAAATCAAGTGTTGGTAAAACTCCCTTACATTCACAAAACAAAGAACGAACAAGAGGCATAGATTGCAACGCATAGAGAGCTTCAGGCTCCGATGTGCTTTGATGAATACCAATGCGGCGTTGGGTATTTATTACGCCTTGTGGAACATTGTTAAGGTCATGCGGTATTCTGACGTAAAGGAACTTCTCTTTCTCTGCTTCTCTTAAGCATAATTCCCTCACGAGATCATGGATGGTGCAATATTTTATTCTCCCTTTAAGCCCTTTGATGAACTCTAATGAGATTTCTGTCACAAAGATCCTCTAAATACTCTCTCGAAACCACTTCCAAGCTTTTCCCATTAATTGGTTTCAAAAATCCTTCAGACACCCATAGTTTCACGAGCCAGGAGACATGGATTTTACTGTCTTCAGGAAAAACTCCCATATACAGAAAGCATGGCTTCAGATATACCGGCAAATGGTGATAACTCAAAAGCAATACTTTTAAACAACGCTCATTGTCTTCTAAGTTTACAATTGAGTTTAAGTTTTCTGAAATATATTCCCAATATTCTCTTGTGGGCTTGGACTTTGCTAGGAGTCCTCCAATCACAACGATCGACAAAGGAAGTCCTTTGCAATTTTTCGCAATCTTCTTTCCTATTTCCTCCAATTCAGGAGGGCAATCGTCTTCTTCTTCAAATACATATCTGCACAGTAGATCCCAACTCTTATCCTCATTTAAGAAATCCATCACAACGCCACCAGAGCCAATCGAAGCAACGTTTGATAGCCTAGTGGTTATCATTATTCTGCTTCTTTCACCATTGTCTGGAAAGAAGAGATTCACTTTATCCCATACCTCAACACTCCAAATATCATCCATTACAATCAAATATCTCATTCCCCATAAACTTTGGTGTACTCTGACACCTAATTCGCCTTCACTCTTCGCATTCAAGGTTTCTCGGCTCTCAGCTTTGTTTATACAAAGAAGAATTTCTACAAGAATTTCTCGCACATTGTAGTTTTGAGATATTGTAACCCAAGCTCGAATATCAAAGTGCTTCATAAACTTAACGTAAGCATTTCTTGCAAGAGTAGTCTTACCAATGCCGCCCATGCCAACAATCGGGATGATCCGGCGATTAGATGGTTCTCCGGTGAGCTTATCCATTACTTCATTTAAGAGATCATCAAGACCAACCACTGCGTCCCGCCTCGTTGAAGGAGAACTTGATGAACCACCAAGCGTGGGAGAATTTATGTTCAGATGATCTTCGATTATTCCAATATTCTTCTCTTTATTCTCCATCAATTCTTTCTTGATTAAACCCATGTCTTGGATCACCTTCTCTAGCTCTTGATACAACTCATCGGAACTCACTTTTTCGCCATGAATTTGATCAACAATTCGGGTTTCGATTATATCTTCCGCCGCATGAGCTGCATCTGCAATGCTGCTTTCCAAGACATATGCTGCTTCTTTGCTGCTGCCGCCGCCGAAGGAGTAACCTTCAAGAAAATCTTGCAGGAAATTGAGGTTGTCGGTGAGAGAATGCACCTGGTTTTGGTGAAGAGAAATCGGAGGGCAAGGATGAAGTTGAATCTGTTGGATGATATACTTGAGAGAAAGTAGAGCTGCATAGGCCGCCATCTCTAACTTCAACTCTCTCTGGATAATTTTGAAACATGAATAATTTTGCATTCCAAACAAAAAAAGAAAAGAAAACTCTTTTCATATGTACTGACAATTAAATGTTTGATTTTGGTCCACTCATTTAGTGGTTGTAACTTGTACGTACTGGTACGGTACATCAGTACATGCAGATGATATTTTTATGGAAAATACCAAAAAGTCCCGACTAAAAATTCATGAGTTAATTGAACATAAACTCTCGAATTGTTTAAAAAACCATTGTGTTAAAACAATTAGCAAGAACCCCCTATGTTATATTTTACATAGCACACTGCCCCTTTTTTTCGTTTTTTCCTCTTCACTTAGATGAAATGACAAAATTACCCTGAATTCAAAACGTCACTGGAAGAGTGCCACGGTGAGAAAGACACCGGAGATGGTGTGAAGATGGTTGCCGGTTGGAGTGACGTTTGTGGTTTGATTAGGGAAGATGGACTTTTCGGAAATGGGAAGGATTGAATTGCAAATTTTTGAAAACTTCATTTTGGGTCATATAGTATTTTGGGGTGAATTTGTAATTTTAGAAATTTATAATTTAGAGGGTATCTTGGTCTTTTTGGGTCAAAAATACACTATCAGTTGCACAATCCGCGCGTGCAACACACGATAAGCTGTGAAGGACCTTATTGCCTTTGATTAATTTTCATAGGGGGGTTCTTGCTAGTTTTTTTAACACTGAGCGTTTTTTCAACAATTTGAAAATACACAGAGATGTTCATATATCGAAAAAATCTGACAGTGATGTTCTCACTTTCAAGACTTTTCAAGTCTGCATGGATAATCTTGTTATTGTTGAGAAACTAATGAATAATATAGAAGAAGTGGAGAACAAAGTAGGGAGAATATGAAATATGTTATTCAATATAAATCATTATAATACTTGTCATGAAGTAATAGTACTATAATTAACTCAAACCTTCATATATATCAATGAACCACAAACTGAATAGCTCTTTCAAGTACTTATATACTACTCATATATCAAGGTTTGAGCTTTATACTTTGAATTTATGTCCTCGATGTAGGCCTCAAGCTTTTATAATTGGTACTTAATCATGAAACAAATAGTACTATATATATAAATGAGAATAGTTCTTTAATATACTACTCAAATCTTCGATTCAATTCATTGCACGTGCTCGATTTGGGCTTCAACCCTCAATATATAATAAAAATCGTTATGTACTTTGATCATGAAAGAATAGTACTATAAATGAGAAATAGTACTCATTAACTCAGATGTTCAAGGGTCTTATCATTTAGACTTAGAGTCTTATTATATCCAATCGAGATTTCTAATCTCGTATTTAATCTAGGCTCTAGGCCTATAATCGTCCCTTTTGTTTTTAGAACGTCATGTCATCTCAAAAAAAAAAGGGACAGCTCTAGCAAAGCTGAGTATTTTAAGCATATCTCTCTCGATCGAGATCCATAATGGGATCATCAATAGGTATTATGGATTGATAATAGTGGGAGTGGAGGTGATTGATGATGGTGAGTAATGGTGGTCATCCACACCTTTAAGAATTCATAACAGTTATATACATTCTCCGAAAAAGATAAAAGTAATAATTATTTCAGGCTTCAATGCCCGAAACCGAAGTACAAAATTCGGAATCCGTTGCCAGAATGGCTTCTGTTTCGGGCATTGAAGCTCCCATTTATTTGTGTTAAAAATTATTTAACAATTATCTAGTTAAATACTAATGTTAAAATAATAGCTTTTTAATACTCTGAAACGTAAAAATTTGAAACACATGAAGTTGATCATCCTGTAAGGATCATTGCAGAGTACATGCTGTTAGCTAGAGAAAATGAATATGAATACGTAACTGCCCTCGACTCTGACTTTTCTTCCTCTTCGTGGTGCTCATCAGCCTTTTCCTATGGCATCAACGGATTCCCAGAACTCTCACACAAATGAGAACCAAAACTCGGATTTACTGATGTTGGAAAACAAAGAAAATTAAAAGTATGGCCGCGTCTACTTGCAATACTATTTCCATTAAGTGCAAGATCAAAATAAAAAATAAAATTCAATGTACAAATTCTATAATATAATACCCTTATTTTTAAATAAATAAATAAATAAAACCAAATTGATTCAATACCATAAACTTTAAACTATGCTATGGAATGATAACACACCTACGCTAATGATGTAAGAGTAACAACCACTAACATAGATATCTGAGAATAGAACAAGTAAAGCACGAAACGAGTAAGAACGATTGGCACTCCTTTCGTCTAAAGAATGAACAAGTTTTAGGGAATATCAATTCCAGTCTTCGGTTATGATTCTAAATGCGACCAAAACTTATCTTCTCTTTTTTTTTTACCCATTCCATTTCTTTATATCTTGTTCGTTTATGCAATATAGAATTTCATCAAAAACATATAATACAAGAAAAGTTATTAAATATCATCTCGTGCACCACCACTTATATCAATGTATATATATCTACAAAATTAAATAAAAATAGAAAATCAAAAGAAAACAAGAAAGAGGTTCAGGGGAATACAAAAGCGACGGTGTTTATCTTAAAAAAAAGGGGGGATTTCGGATAACTTACAACAGAGTTTGCCATTTTCTCTTTATACAGAAGCGCCGTCCCATTTTTCATTCCTTCGCCTCGTTCTTACATGTTAAACAAAACAAAAGAAAGAGTTTACAACAAAGGAAACCACAATAAATATATGCATACACTAGATACAGACAGAGAAGTTTCAAATTTTGTTTCTAAGGATTTAATCCTAAAAATAAAAATATAACAGATATAAGTGAAATGCTGCTGAGCTTGATCAGTAGCAAAACAAACATGTTATTTCACAATTTATCAAAATAGTAAAAGAAGGTTGATGTAAATCAACAAAGATTCGTTTCTCACCAAGTTTCAACTTGAAAGTTGGGACCAACCAAGCTCTCCAAGTTTTCTTTACTCTCTTGGAAAACTTGAGCTCGAACTCGAATGCCTGAATTGCCAAGCTCCTCTTGTTCATCCAATATTCTTTTAGCAGAAATGACAGCTGCGTCGCTACAAATCTCCAAATAAATTGATTCAAGCGATGATATTTCTCCAATACACGAAGGGATCTCCTCCAACTTATCCAAGTACTGAAGATCAAGATGCTCAAGGCGTGGAAAGTGGGTGCTGTCTGTCGTCCAACATTCTAGGTCCCGACACCCGAATATTTGCAAGAATCTTAGGCTGCAGAACTGCCCTTCAGCTGTTTCCCACTCGGGTCCCACAAAAGAATTTTCCTTCAGTTTGAGGACTTGAAGATTGGGTAACAAGCCTATCTTCGTCTTCATGTCTTCCCAGTACTGATTGGTCCCGTACAAGGTCAACTTCTTGAGCGAATTCGGGAGGATCAAGTTCTGCATCAAATCATTCCGGTTTGGCTTCTTTATTAGGGAATATAAGGAGAAACGCAAGGACTCGAGTTTACATAGACGGCCAAGGTTGTTGAGACAGTAACTTGAAAATCCCTCAAATTCATTGCAACATATCTGTAGTTTATTGACATTGGGGATTCTCTTAACCACCTCTTCTCCACATCTGAAATTCCTTATTTCCAAGAGTGTCTGTAGGTTCCCCAAAACAAACTCGTCATCTTGCCCACCGGGAGGAGGATCGGGCATTTCAAGTTGATCGAACTGCACATGCCTAAGTTGAGGCATCTTCCAAATTTCAGGTGGTGCAACAGCATCATCGATACCCTTGACGATTAAAGTCTGCAGATTCCAAAGGAGATACACTGAAGAAGGAAACGTGGGAATTTGACGCCAATCAGCTCCGATAGCAAGGAACCTCAAGTTAACTAGCCGAAAAACATCTTCTAGGGAATAACTGTTCTCTTCGTAAGAATATAAATTTTCATCGACTGCTTTCAGCACCCTCAACAATCTAAAACTAGGCGATGGTAATACTCCTTGAGATTCCCAAATAAAAGAACGGGCAAGGGGCGTATGCCGAATTTTGCCCGACTGTCTCTTAGCGTCAATACTTGCTCTCTTGGTACCCAATAAAGAAGAGTTTCCATTATTAGAAACACCAAAACCAAAGGAAGGACTGTCATGTTTAGCAATCGACATTTGTTGAAACGAGCTAAAAACTGCCTCCTCCACATGTTCTTTCTTCCCCTTATCATCGGCTTCTTCCACCTCCTTGTCCTCTGATGTAGATTCACCACTTGGCTCATCGACCTTATTTTCAGATTTGATGTCGTCAATTTTTTCACATTCCTTACTCTTAGATGAAGTGTGAGGAACCAAGCTGGTAGCGGGGGATGGAGCTAAAGCAGATGCAGTTGATATTTGATGGCGACGTACTTTCACAACTTTTCCAGTCGCAAGAACTTGTTTGGAACCAGTACTAGACCCGTCTTTAGTAATTGATCCAAATGAGAAAGAATCGCCAGAGAAAGAATTTAGGCCGCTGAATTCCCACCTTCCATCTTTAGTAAAACGTGCAGCTTCTGCATTCTTTTCAATTGTTGCCTCTTCCGCATGTTCATTGTCTTTCTTATCATCAACTTCTGTAGGTTTTTCCACCCCATCCCCAGAATTCCCACCTTCTCCCACATCCTTGTCAGCATTCGATTGGGCGTTCGAGTCATCAATCTTGCTTTCACTACCCTTTGACTCGTCGACCTTATTTTCAGATTTGATGTCGTCCACTTTTTCAGTTTCCTTACTCGTTGGAGGAACCAAGCCAGTTGCGGCAAAATGATTTGGAGCAGAAGAGGCAGTTGATGTTTGCTGGCGACGTGTTTTCACAATTCTTCTAGTAGCAAGAACCTCTTCGGGTGCCTTCTTAAACGTGCCCATCTCATTATCAGATTTTTCTTCGGAGAGATAATCCTTGTTCAATGAAAAAAAAAATTGCTTTAGTCGAATGCATCTATGATTTATGATGATGAGAGATGATCAATGTTTGATGATGAAATTGCTTGTTTTTGTGTGATAAGGATTTGATGTTTGTTTAGCTTTCGATTCAACGGAACTTAGAAACGAATTATTGCTAGGAATCACACTTTGTGCATTGCTTTGGTTGAATGTTTTGTATTTTAAATTTGGAATTAATTTGTGCTAGATCATGCTATGTTCGGTTTTAAGACTCACCTTAGGAAATTTATGATACGAAGTATTGAGTAGTGAGTGATTTGGGATATGATTTGGGCCTTCTGTGAACCGTTTGAGCCTTTCAAGCCGACCTTTTTATCGAAATTATCCTTAGAACCTTGATTTGAGCCTCGGAGAAAAAGTGTTCTTTCTTTTAGCCAATGTGTAAGGTAGAATAGGTGGAGATTCTTGAAAATTACCCCTTGGAGTTCGGTCGAAAGTTGTTATAAGATCCTTCTTCTTCTTCTAAAAAAAATAAAAAAAAATAAGACAAATATATATGCTTCTATATATATATTAAAAAAAAAAAGAGAAGAAGAAGAGACTAGAAGGGAGAAAGAAGGACTAGTTGTTGAATTATTTTTGAAAACTCGATCCATTGCCTCAAAAGCAAAAGTGGAGACTTTTGAACTTTTGAGAATCGAGTTTATTAAAGTCCGTAGAGGTGAATTCATTGTTTCAAACGCCTATCTTTCAAATTTTTGCGTAATCACCTAAATGCAAGAAAAATAGCCACATATACCCATATTTCCTACCTCGAACCAAAGAGCCTAACAATTGAAAGCCACAAAGCCCCAATGATCCCAATAGCTTAATGTTCGATATTAGTAGAGTAGAATAATTTGGTGAGTATTTGGAGTTAAGCATATGCATGTAAGTATAAATTCTTTCTATCTTTAATTTGCAAATATTGGATGCTTGAAGCAATTGTATGAATTGTGGTTTTTGGTAATGATGAGTGACTAAGTGTTGTTGAATTTTGAGCTTGTGAATGCCTAAGAATTGTCATTATAATTACAAGTTCTGAAAACGTGAAGTTGATCATTGATCTATGTGATGAGATGTAATAGTTGTGTTATTTGCTTATTGGTAGATTTTGCTTGAGGACAAGCAAAAGTTCAAGTTTGGGGGTGTGTTAAGTGTATATTTTTACACTTTATCGTATCTTTTTATTTGAGCTTTTGGTGTGTTTTAACGATAATTGTTGCTTAAAAAGTTGATTTATTGTATTTTAGGTACAAATTGAAGAATTGGAAAAGTATGGGGTCAAAACGAATCTCATGAATATGGTAATACAATCAAGTCGGATGATTTTGGTATCATGAATAATTAAAAGATAATAAGGCCTTTCTTTCTAATGTCGCATATTTCGGATAAATAATGTAGACCAAGGACTCCAAGAGAATTACATAGAAATCTAGCTAAGAGCCCGGTTTGTTAAACACAACTGTGAAAGCTTGATAAACATTCAAATAAACTTGTACAAATACGGGGATAATTACATTTTTCGTCCTTATACTTTACCACTTATTCGTTTTTTGTCCCTAAACAAGTTGGAGTGACATTATTCGTCCATAATCATGCCATTTTTTAGCAGTTTCCATCCTACCGTTAATTCTTGCTGTTACGTTGGATGGAAAATCTGCGTGGACCTGAAAATCTCAATATATGCTGCTGACATGGACGATTAATTCACGTGGCCACTCACATACATGTATGCTGCTGTTGATATGCTTTGTGAAACCAACTCATATTAACTCAAATTACCCATGCATTGGAACCCATCAAAACTCATCTCTAAACTTTGCTAGAGAGAACGAGCCACCATGCATATTCCCAAAATATCCATTTCAACTTTGCAAACGAGCCACCACCATGCAAGAGACTCATCCTCTCCTAATTAAAGAGGAAATTCTCATAATTGACTGTGAACGATACAATTGTCAGATGAATAATATTTATTTCGACTTTGCATCAAATTTTCATGTTTAAACTCCAAACATGCAGTGAAATAACCTTTTGCAATCTGTGCGCGTACACGCACTTTAGAATTAATGAATATAGAAGACATGCAACTACATCAGTTTTTTTTTTTAATATCCCCTACACCAGACATGTCAATTTTTTTTTAATTTTTTTTTTTTTTTGTTTAAATTAGTAGTTAACATCAGTTGGGGAGATAATGACTAATAAGGGTAGGCAATCAAAATTAAAGTTTACAGAATTGCAAATCGTACAAATCCTCAATATGTAACAAAACAAAGAATTCTTGTTGAGTAGCTTAACATATTATAAATTTCATTCAACAAATCCAAATATATTAATTCAAAGTAGAAATTGCATTGCATCAGATTTGTATGATGGAAAAAAATTATCTTTTGGGGATTATCGAGGCTATTTACGAGTCCAAAGAGGTGTAATATTGAAGAAATTGGCAATTTGGAAAAGAAGGCTTATGTTCTAAAGAAGATGCAATCTGAAATTGAAGAGAGAGGTTGGCTCTTACGTATCATGTGCGAAGCACTTGTTATTTTCCGTCCAAACTAACCAACCAAATTAACGGAGGGACGAAAATAGCAGAAAAATGGCATGTTTGGGGATGAATAATGTCACTCCAACTTGTTTAGGGACGAAAACCAAATAAGTGGTAAAGTACGGAGACGAAAAGTGTAATTATCCCTACAAATACGTGTTCAGCTCGACTCGACTCGAATCAACTGTAAATAATTGTTAATTTAAACACTGATTTAACTCTGTTCATAATTTTTGTAGATTGAATTGAAAAACAAATAATAATGGCTACTTTAGTTTGATCTTTTCATCTACTCCAATACACGTCTGGTTTAACAGTAACCGATGGTTTATCTAATTTAGCACTCATCGTACCTTTTATTAATTTTTGCGCATACACTTTAAAGAGTAAAAAAGTAATTACAAATGTCTGGAAAATCATGAGAATCAAAAATATGTTCGGTTCGACCGGATTCATTTACACCCCTATTTATATGCCATGCATCGAACTAACATATCAGTCAAAACTTCACCCCCAACCCATAATAATATTTATTCCTCAAACCAACAAGCAAAGAATAATCACAAACATTGGTTACTCCAAAATAAGCAAAACCCATAAATTATTTAATTCTTGCCAAAAAAACGAGAAAATCCGGACAAGTCCTTAACTGCGATTAGCAAACGAAGAAATCAATTAAGCTCTTAACATAGCAGCATCAGGTATTATCTCTTTCGTCCACCAGAAACCTGCAATAAAAACATACCAATTGAGAAGAATACCGTACACATTATTCGAATAGCAGTAAGCACAATTTAGTTTCCCTTTGTGAATTATATACATACTCCGTCTCATCAAACACTTGCTATAATACTTATATCTATCTTTTCGTTTTCAAGGTCGTGATTTTTCTACGCGAAGGAACAAAACTTCTGCCGCATGGCTACAAATCAAAAGGACGATATGGTCTTTCAAGAACACTCTATATCATCGCAGTTGTTCTTGTTCCATATAAAAAAAAGCCATGAGCAGAAAAGTTCCAGCGAACAAAACAATTTGAATTATCGAATTTACGATCAAACTGCATTTTATCATTTACACTAGGAACTCACCTTCTCTTTCCCTTTTGACATACGAGACGACTTTGTTCCATGATCAGTCAATCTGCACGTACCTAATATAGAAACAATATACTTTAAACTTTAGCATCACTAATTAAACACAATTTTGGGGCAAAGCAATAATATTAAGAAATGAGGATAAAGGAGGATTAAGATACAAAAAGCACAACCGAAGTGGCAACTTAATACTACCATATGGATATTGGGTAAATTACAACCACCCCTGAGGTATGGTTAAATTAAAAAAAAAAAAAAAAAAACTTAATGTTTGGATAATTACAATGATATAAATTAAATGATGAACAAAGCATATCGTAGCTGGATTACAAGTTTAAACTGAAGTTCTAAACATGTGATTAAGGGCGTTACGATAAATAAACTGAAGAAGATTGTGTACACGAAATAATAAAGCCCAAAAAGAAGCTTACATCTCTGCTGAGGGACAAGATTGTGTCACGAAAGAGTTGCATCAATCTTCTCTTCCTGATAAATAGGTAAAGACAAATAGACGCGTTAAATATATATATATATATATATATATATATATATATATATATATATATATATATATATATATATATATATATATATATATATCCATTTTGAGGTTGATCAGTAGCAAAAGGATCATGTTATGAAGATTGAGTTCTCACCAAGTTTCACCAAGGCTCATCGTGTCGAAGACTTGAACTCGAAAGTCTTCATTGCCAAAATCCTCTTGTTCCTTCAATATTTGTTTAGCAGAAATGACAGCTAACTTGCTACACGAAATCAACTCAATCGATTGAAGCGTTGATATTTCTCCAATACATGAAGGGATCTCTTTCAACTTATGCAAGTAGCGAAGATGAAGATGCTCGAGGCGTGGAAAGTGGGAGCTATCTGTCGTCCACCATTCCAGGTCACGGCAACTTCTGATTAGCAAGTATCTAAGGTTGCAGAATTGCCCTTCAACTGTTTCCCACTCGGTCCCCACAAAAGAATATTCCTTCAGTTTGAGGACTTGAAGATTGGGTAACAAACATATCTTTGTCTTCATGTCTTCCCATTTGAGACAGGTCCCCATCAAAGTCAACTTCTTGAGGGAATTGGGGAGGATGAAATTCTGCAGCAAATGCTTATTTTCGGAATAAATTGATAAACGCAAGGACTCGAGTTTATGTAGCTGGCCAAGATTGTCGAGAGAGTAACTCAAAAATCCCTGAGGTTCCTCAAAGTAAGATATTTGTAATTTATTGATATTGGGGATTCTCTTGACCACCTCTTCTCCACATTTGAAATTTCTTATATGAGTGAGCGTTTGTAGGTTCTCCAAAACAAACTCGTTGCCTTTCCCACCGATAGGAGGATCAGGCAGCTTAAGTTGAAAGAAATGAACATGCTTAAGTTGAGTCATGTTCCAAATTTCACATGGTGCAACAACGCCAAAGATACCATTTACGATTAAAGTCTGTAGATTCCAAAGGAGATTGACTAAAGAAGGAAATCCGGAATTTTTAGGCACATCAGATCGGATAGCAATGAACCTCAGGTTAACTAGCCGAAAAACAACTTCTACGGAATATTTGTATGGTCTGTTGTTATCGAAATATGAATTTTTATCATCGGCTTTCAGCACCCTCAACAACCTAAAATCAAGTAATGGTAAACGTTCTTCAAAATTGCAAATCAAAGAACGAACAAGAGGCACATCTTGCAATGTATGAAGGATTGGATCCTTCTCCGACATGCTTTGATGAATACCAATGCGGCATTGGGTATTTATGACCTGTGGAATGGTAAGTTCATGCGGTCTTCTGACATAAAGGAACTTCTCTCTCTCAGCTTCTCTCAAGCATAAATCCCTCAAGAGATCATGGATTTTGCAATATTTTATATTTCCATTAGACCCCCTTTTATGAACTAAAATCAGGTTTCTATCACAGAGCTCCTGCAAGTACTCTCTCGAAACCACTTCCAAGCTTTTGCAGTTAATTGGTTTCACAAATCCCTCAGAAACCCATAGTTTTACGAGCCACGAGACACGGATCATGTTGCCCTCCGGAAAAACTCCCATATAAAGAAAACATGGCTTTAGATGTACCGGCAAATGGTTATAACTCAATTGTAATGCTTTTAAGCAACGCTCGTTGTCTTCCGAATTTACAATTGTGTTTGTGTTTTCTGAAATATATTCCCAATGTTCTTTTGTGCGCTCAGACTTCGCTAGGTGTCCTCCAATCACAACTATTGACAAAGGAAGTCCTTCGCAATTTTTGGCAATCTTCTTTCCTATTTCCACCAATTCAGGAGGGCAATCTTTTTCTTCTTTAAATACAGATCTGCACAGTAGATCCCAACTCTTATCCTCATTTAAAAAACCCATCACAATGCCATAAGAGCCAATCGAAGCAACGTTCGACAGCCTAGTGGTTATCATTACTCTACTTCCTTGACCATTGTCCGGAAAGAAGATTTGCACTTTATCCCATACATCAATACTCCAAATATCATCCATTACAATCAAATATCTCCTCTTCCATAAAGTTTTGTGTACTCTTTCACCTAATTCACCTTCGCTCTTCGCACTCAAGCTTTCCGGGCTCTCTTCTTTGCTAATACAAAGAAGAATTTCTATAAGAATTTGTCTCACGCTGTAATTTTGAGATATTGTAACCCAAGCTTGAATATCAAAGTGCTTCATAAACTTAAGGTAAGCATTTTTAGCAAGAGTAGTCTTACCAATGCCGCCCATACCAACAATCGAGATTATGCGGAGATTGGATTGTCCTCCAGTGAGCTTATCCATGACTACATTTAAGAGATGATCAAAACCAACCATGGCGTTCTGCCTCGTCGAAGGTGAGCTTGATGCACCGGCACCACCAAGTGTCGATGACTTTCTGAGCAGGTGATCTTCAATTCCAATATGATTCTCTTTAATCTCCATCACATCTTTCTTGATGAAACCCATGTCTTGGATTACCATCTCCAGATCTTGATGGAAGTCACTGGAACTGATTTTTTTGCCATGAGCAGTCGATCCACCGTGAATTTGATCGACAACTCGGGTTTCGATTAGATCTTCTCCCGCAAGAGCTGCATTTTTAATACGACTTTCCAAAACATCTACTGCTTCCCTGCTGATGCTGCTGCTGCCGTACGAATAACCTTCAAGAAAATCTTGCAAGAAATTGAGGCTTTTGGTGAGAGAATCAACCTGGTTTTGATCAAAAGAAATTGGAGGGCGAGGATGAAGCTGAATCTGTTGGATGATATACTTGAGAGAAAGTAGAGCTGCATAGGCTGCCATCTCTAATTAACTTGCTCTCTCTCTCTTCTCTCTCTCTCTCTCTCTAGGTAATCAAATTGGTTTTCAGAACAATGCTTATGGTCAACATTTAGAATGATTTGTTTATCAAATTAAAACAGATCTTTTGATATACATATATGCTACTCACAAGTTGACTGAATTAAAAAGGGGATTTTAGATATACGTGCTTACAACTAGACAACAAATCCCTTAGAAAAATAAATAAAAGAAGAAGTCATCTCTACGAAACGAAGGGGGAGAGAGAGAGAGAGAGAGAGAGAGAGAGAGAGAGAGAGAGAGAGAGAGAGAGAGAGAGAGAGAGAGAGAGAGAGAGAGGAAGAAGACCCTTTCTTAAAGCCTTGGCGCCATGTAATATTTCGTTATCAATTTTCTTCTACACAAGACCCTTTCTTGCCTTTCAATTTAATGTGATACAGAGATAGCAGAAAGTTATAATATATTCAGAAATGATGTTAAAAGAAGCAAACAAAAGTTAAATACAAAAATAAGAGTGGAAACAAAAATGAATATGCATAGAGTAGATATAGAAAGAGAAGTATGCAAATTTGTTTCCAAGTATTTAATCCTAAAAATAAAAACATAGCATACATCTGTCCATGCATGCTGAGAAATTGATCAGTAGCAAAACGATCTTGTTACGAAAGTGAAACGACAACAGTCGTTATTATATGTTTCTATGCTCATGCAATGTTAATATTTCTCCGAAAATTCTCGCGGACAAAATAAATCACATGTTTTTAATCCAAATGCACAGTAATGAAATGAACTTTCTTTTTTAATTATTCTTCTTTGTCATTTGATTCTATTTTCCCAGCAGTAAGAGTCAGGAAAAATGACAAAAAGGCAAAAAATATACTTAATTATGATTAGGGGTGACAGTCGGATGGATCGGATCGGAATTAGCCTTTTTCGAAAAATTTCCAAAACTTTCCAAAGCACAAAATCAATTCAAATTTCAATTCCAATATTTTCGGAATCTAAAAATTCATTTCAAATTCAAAAGGTCCGAAAATATTTCGGAAATCACATAAATTTTAAAATTTCAAAACTTAGCGGAAATTTTCTTAAAATTTCAAAAATAAGAACATCCACGTCGATAAGAGAAAAACTAATAACCGCTAAATTTCACTTCTATATAAGAAATAAAAATAAACCACATCATAATATCCAATAAAACTTCTAACACAATTCAATATGTCAAAATCCTAAAACAAAATTTAAATCAAATTACTTTTCACCAAAAAAAAAAAAAAACTTTAATTAAGTATTATATAATAAATATTATTTATAAGCATATTCTTCGGAAAAAATCGGATTTTTTCGGAATTAATTTTGGAAATTAAATCGGATCGGAAATTGGACATTCCAATTTTTTTATATATAATCCAATTTCAATCCGAAAAAATCGGAATTTCGGAAGTCGGAATAGAAAAAGTTGTTCCAAAATTGGAACTTTTCGGATCGAAACTGGCGGAAATTGGAATTTCCGTTCCAACTTGCACCCATAATTATGATAATTCTATCATAAGGGAATGAAATCAGTGGATCAGGTGGTCTTATCATAAGGAATGAAATTGAAGCACAACTTCAAAGTTATATTTTATAGGTAACCGCAAAATATTACAATTACTTGAGTTTCGACTCACTTGATTTTACATATAATAACATGAACATTTGAAGAAACTCCAAACTCTTATGGCGGACCGAAACAAAATTTCATTACATGCCCGACACCGTGTCAGAGCTTGTTCGTCTCCGATTGGCAGATTCTTACCAATCATTATACTATTTCCTTTAATGATTTAATCAAAAAAATGAAAGAAGGTTGATGCAAGTAAACTCAATGAAGACTAGTTCATCCAAATTACTCCAACTTGAAAGTTGGGACTAGCCAAGCTCTCAAAGTGTTTTATATTCCGTGCGACAACTCGAACCCGAAGGCCTACGTTGTCAAATTCTTCTTGTTCATCCAATATTCTTCTAGCAGAAATGACAGCTGTCTTGCTACAATATTGTACCCGAATCGATTGAAGCGTTGGTATTTCTCCAATATCTGAAGGGATCTCCTCCAACCTATCCAAATGTCGGAGATCAAGTTGCTCAAGGCGTGGAAAGTGGGCGCTCTCTGTTGTCCACCGTTCCAGGTCACTGCAGTCGCAGATTTGCAAGAATTTAAGGTTGCAGAATTGCCCTTCAACCGTTTCCCACTCGGTTCCTACAAAGGAATTTGCCTTAAGTTTGAGGACTTGAAGATTGGGTAACAAACCTATCTTTGTCTTCATGTCTTCCCAGTACAAATTGGTCCTGTGCAAAGTCAACTTCTTGAGTGAATTCGGGAGGATGAAATTCCGCAAAACATCGTCCCGGTTCGGCCTATTCCAAGTAAAAAAGAAGCAGCCAAACGATTCGAGTTTATGTAGACGGACAAGATTGTCGAGACAGTAACTTGAACATCCGTCAAATTGTTCATGATAAGATATTTGTAATTTATTGATATTGGGGATTCTCTTAACCACCTCTTCTCCACATTTGAAATTTCTTATTCTCGAGAGCGTCCGTAGGTTCCCCAGAACATACTCGTCTTTCCCATCGAGAGGAGGATCGGGCATTTCAAGTTGATTGAACTGAACATGCCGAAGTTGAGTCATCTTCCAAATTTCAGATGGTGCAAAAGCATCTCTCTCCTTGACAATTAAAGTCTGTAGATTCCAAAGGAGGTTGATTGACGAAGGAAAATCGGCATTTTGATCCCTATCAGATGTGATAGCAATGAACCGCGAGTTAACCAGCTGAAAAACAGCTTCTAGGCTAAACACATGATCATTCAAATATTTATCAACTGCATTTAGCACCCTCAACAATCTAAAATAATTAAGTGACGGTAAAACTCCTTGGCGACCGACAATCAAAGAACGAGCAAGTGGCATACATTCCAACGCGTGACGAGCTTGAGGGAGATATTCCTTCTCTGACGCGCTTTGATGAATACTAATGCGACGCCGGGTATTTATAATGCCTTGAGGAATGTTAAGGTCATGCGGTCTTCTGACGTAGATGAACTTCTCTTTCTCGGCTTCCCTTAAGCATAGTTCCCTTACGAGATCGTGGATCTTGCAAAACTTTATTCCCCCATTCAATCCTCTTTGATGAACTAAAATGAGATTTCTGTCACAAAGGTCCTCCAAGTACTCTCTCGCAGCCGCTTCCAAGCTTTTGCCGCTAATTGATTTCAGAAATCCTTCACAAACCCATACTTTTACGAGCCAGGAGACACGTATGTTTTTGTCTTCAGGAAAAACTCCCATATACAGAAAACATGGCTTCAGATGTACCGGCAAATGGTTATAACTCAAATGCAATACTTTTAAGCAACGCTCATTCTCTTCTAAATGTACAATAGAGTTTAAATTTTCTGAAATATATTCCCAATATTCTCTTGTGGGCTTGGACTTCGCAAGTAGTCCTCCAATCACAACTATTGACAAAGGAAGTCCTTTGCAATTTTTAGCAATCTTCTTTCCTATTTCTTCTAATTCAAAAGGGCAATCTTCTTTTTTTTCAAAAATACTTTTCCGCAGTAGCTCCCAACTTTTATACTCGTTTAAGAAATCCATCACGAGGCCATGAGAGCCAATTAACTGAAAAACAACGTTCGACAGCCTAGTGGTTATCATTACTCTACTTCCTTGACCATTGTCCGGAAAGAAGATTTGCACTCTATCCCACACCTCAATACTCCAAATATCATCCATTACAATTAAATATCTCCTTCCCCATAAACTTTTATGCACTCTTTCACTTAATTCACCTTCACTCTTCCCACTCAAGATTTCACGGCTCTCGTATTTGCTTACACAAAGAAGAATTTCGATAAGAATATCTTGCACATTATAATGTTGAGATATTGTAACCCAAGCACGAACATCAAAGTGATGCACAATGAGTGGCTTAGCATAAGAATTTCTAGCAAGAGTAGTCTTACCGATGCCGCCCATGCCAACAATCGGGATTATGCGGAGATTAGATTGTTGTCCAGTGAGCTTATCCATTACTTCAATCAAGAGCTCATCAAAACCAACCATGGTTTCCTGCTTCGTTGTTAAAGGAGACCTTGACGAAGCAGCACCAGCAAGACTTGAAGGATTCATGTGCAGGTGATCTTCGATTCCAATATTACTTTCTTTAATCTCCATCACATCTTTCTTGATTAAACCCATGTCTTGGATCACCTTATCGAGATCTCGGTACAAGTCGACAGAACTGATTTTTTCCACGACATCTAAACCAGCTACGACATTCTGCCTCGTTGAAGGAGATCTTGATGAACCAGCACCACAGAAAGTGGACAAAATTCTGCACAGATGATCTTGCATTCTAGTATTCTTCGTTTTTCTTGATCCACCAAGAATTTGATCACAAACCCAGGTTTCGGTTTTCGACGCTTGAGCAGTCGATTCAGCAAGAATTTGATCAACAACCCAGGTTTCGATTATATCTTCGGCTGCATGAGCTGCATCTGCAATTCGACTTTCAAAAACATCAATTGCTTCTCTGCTGCTGCCAACACAAGGATATCCATGCTCGAGAAATTTTTGCAAGAAATTGAGGTTGTCGGTGAGAGATTGGACCTGGTTTTGGTCAAGAGAAATTGGAGGGCGAGGATGATGCTGAATCTGTTCGATGATATGCCTGAGAGAAAGTAGAGCTGCGTAAGCCGCCATCTGTAACTTGCATTCTCTCTCTCTCTCTCTCTCTCTCTCTCTCTCTCTCTAGAACACTCTCTCTCTCTCCCGAAAATCAAATTGGTGTTCAGAACAATTGTTCAGGTTGAGAATCAAGAAGAATTACTCATCTTTGCTTTGTAGTACTATAGTTTGAATTTATCTTAGGACAATAAAAAAATGCCAGAGAAAGAAAATGAAGTCTGAAAGAAAGAAAAATGAGGGCAACAATGGTTGACTAGTCATTCTTGATGAAAATTGAAAGTAGAAAATGGTGGGTTAATGTCAAGTTTAACTGAAAGTACAATTTTGCCCTTCAATTGGCACGTGATAATCACATGTTTGATTTTCCGGCAAAAATATCGACAATTAAATTAATTAACCTCAGGAAAATTATTCATAAATTAAATCACGCATATACCCTTTAAGTTGAAGGAAAAATGTAAATGCCCGTGGAAAATACACCGGAACATGGTTTTCGGGGTAAAGTGCAACATGAACAATATTTCTAAGGGGGTCACCTCTTTTTTTTTCAGTTGTTAAGGGGGAAAAGTGCAAATTTGGTTATATAGTGGTGAAATGCATTTTATCCCAAAATTAAATATGTTTCAATTTTGTGTTCCATAATATTATTAAGGGGTAAGTACAGTTAACCCCTCTGGACTATAGGGTCCGACCTTAAATGCTCCCTTAATTTCAAACAGGAACAACTTTTACCTCTTTGTTAATGTTCCGTCTTCAAATGTTGAGGTGGAGGTTTGGATTTGGATATAGAGACGGACATTTATATGTATGATTTGAATTATACACTCATGTACATTTCCATAGTATGATTTATGGTTCCATGTATACGATCATCGGTTTAAATATGTTAAAATCTTACGATTTTACTATTTAATTAGTGATGATTGGCTTGACCTTTGCTTACGTTCGCCCCTGCCAAGAGAGAAAAAAAGCCATATAAGGTGAATGATTAATCCACTTAATTTCAAATCATCGGCTTTTTCGAGTCCAAAGTTAACACTAGAATTTGATTTCTAATGTCAATAATTTCAAATAACTCAAAGACACTCTACTTTTTTTTCTCGTTATAGAAAAAGATTTTGACTTAGGATTATTACATAAAGCTTTTTACATTATTAAATCGACATTGATATGATCTCTCTCTAAAACAATAGTGTTGCCTCTACATTTTACTTCAAGAAGTGTCTTGATTGAGAATCTTTGTCTTTTTACATACTTTTTCTTGTTCCTATTACCTTCTTCATAAACGGGGGCGCCGGATGATTCCCCCTGCAACCCTGCACGACACACGTGATTCCTTCAAGACCATTTTTTTTTATTGAACAACCTTTTTTCTTCTTCTTAGATTTTCCGTATTCGCATTATTTCGTTGATGTCCAACTGTCCACCATTGTTTCCGTATTGGCATTATTTCGTTGTGCCTCAACTAAGATGTAAAAAGCTTCTCTTTTCCTGAAAGCCATAAAAAACTTTGTTAATTGCCAAAAACATTAGAAGAAGAAACCTTTCTTAATTCAAGACAAAATATGTAATAATATAGTACAAAGGGTAAAAAGGACAAGACTTACTTTTTTTCTTTAATTATAGATATTAGAGTAATTAATTGGGCATCAATGAAATAATCTCATTTAGGAAAAAAAAATAAGAGGAAGAGAAATGGTTATTGGTTAAAAATTGAGATCCCGAAGGATTCACGAGTGTCGTCCAGGCATGCAGGGGGAACTATCCACCGCCCCCGTTTATGGAAAAGCGAATAGGGTCAAGAAACGGTATTTAAAAAGACAAGAATCCTCAGTCAAGAGACTTCTTGATGAAAAAAGTTGAGGCAAGACTATTGTTTCTCGAGGATCTTATAAAAGATCGATATCAACGATCAAGGTAATAACAGGACAAACATATTTTCGGAATCGATTTTCCAGAGAGTCCTCGATTGCTTGTTTCCCCTGCTCAAAGAGAAGAGTTCAAACATTTTAAATAAAACAACCCTTGTAATGAAATTTGAAGATTGTAATATACAAGTATAAGAGGTGCTAAATACCTTATTTTCCCTTAGAAGTTCTCTCTTAAGAACTTGAAACAAACATTTCTTTGTAGAAAAAAAAATTCAAGGAAAACAATGCATACAACAGTGGTGAAATGAAGAGTTCTTTATAGAGGAATGAGAGAGAGTCATGACGTCGATTTACGCGAAATGGAAGACAAGTGGCAGCCTTCTAAATACGTGGCACGATGTGATTGGATCATTTTGAAAACGAGTTTATCTCATGACTAGGCGTCTTGCTAGCATATGGATGACGCGATGTGAACGAATCATGAGTCTACGTGTGGCATTCATTGATTGAATTTTTTTTAATATGAATCTCATGAATATGGTAATATATTCGAATTGGATGATTTTGGTATCAGGAATAATTAAAAGATAATCCAGCCTTTCTTTCTCTTGTTGCATATTTCGGATAAATAATGTAGATCAAGGAGTTCAAGAGAAATTACGTAGAACCGATTTGTTAAACACAACTGCGAAAGCTTGATAAACATTCAAACAAACTTACAAATACGTATTTGGCTCGACTCGACTCAAATCAACTGAAAATAATTGTTAATTAACTTTGTTCATAGTTTTTAAATTGAATTGAAAAATGGATAGTAATGGTTACATTAATTTGATATTTTCATCTTTGATTGTCTATTTTCCGGGCAGACAACATTTCCCCTAGTTTGTATTGCCATGTACATTTGCACCCTTAGGAGCAGACTTTTGCGGTCAAAACAATCACGAGAACTTGTCTTTCAAGATAAATCATGTCTTCTAAGACATCGAATCTTCTAAAGATTCCCCTGTAGTAAATAGAGTTGTCTCCTATGTTACACATAATATGTGAAAGTATCGATGTCATTTCATAAAATCACTCGGTCTGAAGGCTACATGAAATATAAGCCAGACGACGAAACAAAAAGGCCTAGAATGTTAACAATGACTCGTTGTATAGCCTTTGTAACTTGTTCCTCTATAATCTAGAATTTTAATACATTTATTTTTCTAAATTGATAGCTTCGCTTTGTAAGCTTCAAGTAGGATTTTTTTATGGAGTCATTAAAATTTAAAAATTTGGCTAACCAAGAGATTATTTTATTATATTTTTTCAAGTTATGAAACACAAGAAGTATCTGTAAATTCAAATAGCGAAAATTCCCTGTGATACATAAACTAGTAAAACCTTCCCTGTGAAATTAAGTTAAATGTAGAAATCCTTGGTTGACTTTCGTGTGGCTCACTCGTTGAATGGGCGGCTGATAACTGATTTTTAGATATGAAATGACGAAATTGTCACTCAAAATGTATTTATATGTATTTATTATATTATATGTATTTTCCTTTTAATTTGATTGTTTAGAAATTAAAATATTATTAAAAAACTTAGTGAACAATTAAATTAAAAAAATATATTAAAAATTTGGTCATCAAATTAAGTAGGACAAAATGCACTTCGCACCCTAGAAATTTCAAAAAATTGCACTTTCCCACCAACATTACACCGCGCACCAAGATTCATAAACTTACCTCCATGTTGCATTTGAATAGTAAAATCTTCGGATTCACCTGCAATAAACAATATTCACTATCATTATTTGAACGTATTCGGATAATTGTGTACACATTGTATATTACCTATGTTCTCCTTTTATGTTCCTTCTCTTCGTTTCCAACACATAATTTTTGGACCACTAAGTAGGAAACACTGTAATGGCTTTTTGATCGAAGAAGAAATGGAAGATTCTCGCAGTTTTGGGACCAAACTATGCACAACTCACCTAGGAGAAAAGCACTAGTTTTTGCGTTCTCAAATTGATAATGAAATGAGAGTAAAGTTTTTTTACTTCTTGCAGTAACAAAGAGAATGATATTCGGGATTTTAGGGATGTGTGGTGGGAAAGGCGAAATGACGATAATAGTCTTTAAGTTGACGGAGTTTTTTCAATCCCAGTAAAAAATCCACCGAAAATTTGATTTGGGACAAAGTGCTACAAAAACAAAATTTACAAAGCGGGACGTCTCCTTTTTGAATTTCTAGGGGGGAGTGCGAAGTACATTTTGTCCAATTTAAGTATAGGTTTTTTTAATTACATAATAATGGAATTTAATTTTCTTTTGATGTAGGGATAATTTAAAATATATACGTAAATTATCTGATAATAGAAATAGAAATAACAAAAATAAAATAATTAAAATATTTATAAAATATAAGAATTTATCAATTGCAAAATCCCGGGGGTATTTGTGTCTTTTTATATTAGGCCAACACTCAAATTAATAATGGGTCGAGTGTGCTATATAAATTATTTCAGGTTTATTTATTATAGAGGGTTTTTGTTATTTGGAGATTACACATGGGTACTTTTGCAGTTTACTTAAAAATACAATTAAAAAAAACTAAAGGAAAGTCAATCATTTTTATAGAATCCCAACATATAGTTAAACATCTATAAATTAATACAGTCGGGACCAGAGAAATTCTATTAATTTAGCGAATTATCAAATTATCGAGTTAAGAATTTATCACATTCTCACCGAGTCAGGACTGAGAGAAACTATTATTTAAGCGAAATTATTTAATTTATCGAGATTCTACTGTATAACAACAATTTAATCAGTCATGATCATGAGTACAAAATCCTGCATATTTTCTTCCCCTTTGTGAATAAAGGGAAATAAAATTAATCTTTTAATTTCATAAATTAATCTTCTAGCTTCTCAGAAACAAGAGTCTTGTCTCTACTTTTATCTTCAGGAGATATCCCGACCGAGGATCGTTGCTTTTTCATATATTGTTTCGCGATTCAGCCAACAATATCCACAAAGGATCGTAGCCCTCCTCTGGTTTTAGTAAGGAATTCGGTTTTCGACTTCTTCTTTTTTCCGAATAGGAAAATCATCCGATGTTGTCGTTTGATTTTCATTAGATAAACAATCGTTTACCGCTGCTAAACGACCTTCCATCTGACACATGGCATCTACTCCAATACATTCAACGTCCTGCAAAATTTTGGGTTGCCTAAACTTTGCACGTTCATCACCACATTGTGATGTTGTCGTTTGATTTTCATTTGACTTGCCATCAGTTTTGAGATTCTCGGACTTGTTTCCTTCTCTTAAATTAGATAAATCTTCGGTTACTGTTAAACAAGGCGGAGTTACCGTTAAACCAGTTTCCACCTGACACGTGGTATGTACTCCAATATGTTCAACGTCTGGTTTAACAGTAACGGATGGTTTATCTAATATAGCATTCGCCATACCTTTTATTAATTTCGCGCATACGCTCTAAACAATAAAAAAATAATTACAAATGTCTCGAAAATAACGAGAATCAATCTAAACGATCCCTTAAATATTTTATCACGAACTCTATAACAAGAACTTACAAATATACGACACTCAAACTGAAAGGTCTAAAGAGGTGCTAATTAATTACCTCATGTACCCCTCAAAGGTTCTCTCTTAAGAACTTGAAACAAACATTTCTTTGTAGAAGAAAGAATTTGAAGGAAAGCAATGGATACTACAATGGGAAAATGAAGGGTTCTTTTATAGAGGGAGATAGAGAGTCGTGACGTCGATTTGCGCAAAATGGACAACAAGTGGCAGCCTCTAAATACGTGGCACGATGTGATTGGATCATTTTGAAAACGAGTTTATCTCATGACTAGACATCTTGTTGGCATATATCGATGACGCGAAGTGAACGAATCACGAGTCTACGTGTGGCATTCATTAATTATTTTTTTCTTTATACGAAATGATCTCATTTTTAATATGAAAACTTTCTATTCCAACTCAAATCTCATTAATTTGGTAATATAATCGAGTCAGATGATATTGGTATCAGGAATAATTAAAAGATAATTTATTGTAAGATTAAAGCTTGTTCGAGCTCGATCGGCTGAATTTCTTTATCAAACCAAGCTTAAACACAACTGTGAAAGCTTGATAAACATTCAAACCATATGTTCGGTTCGACCCGATTCATTTACACCCCTATTTATATGACATACATCGAATTACTATATCAGTCAAACCTCAACACCCCCAACCCAAAAGAATTATTCCTCAAACCCATAACATGAGCTTAAACTCGAGCCCGAGTCGAGCATGTTGAGCTCAAGCTCAAAACACACACACACACACACACACACACACACACACTATCTTCATTTTGACATATGATTAATATTATTTTAATTTATAAATTATTATGTTTATAAAACTGAAATTTATTTTTAAAATTTACAAGTATTCATCATAGTAATAATATTATTATTGCATATTATATATTATATTAAACATAAAAATATATATTAAAAAAGCTTGTCAGTCGGCTCGTGACTTAACGAACAACTTAGAATGGGCTTGAGCTCGAGCTCAAACTTTTGTCGAGCTAACGAGCCGGCTAGACTTGTTTACATACTATGACAATAACATCTTCGTCATGTAATTCCTTATCCTAAAAAATATATTTATTTATATATGAATCTCAGTTGCCAAATAAAGAAAATGAAAAACTATTATATATCGTTGCATTTTGCCTGGTTTATATTTACATAATTATTGAAATATTTTCAGGTAACATATTCACACGTATCTAAGTCCTAAGATATCTTTTGAGGTCAAGAAATAAACAGACCACAACTATAGAATTGTAACCAGTCATAATAAGACTACGTGGACCATAAATCAGATTCTGGTTTTCTAGTGTTACACGTTCACCACAAATATCACACAAACACACAAATTTAATATATATAAATAAAATCATGGAAAAAGGAAATTGAATTGAACAAATGAAAGAGCCCCACAAATTCTGTAATCCAGAGCTTTCCAGCACTCTGTGGACTGTCAAATTACTGAACTGACCCTCTTATTATACACCTTAGCTTTTATCTATTTCTTGTTTATTATTTAGATAAATTACAATCGAGGTTAAACTATAAAAAAATGCCTCGTGGTTGGGTAATTATAATCAACTCTCAATTATGAATTTTCTTACTCGTTCACTCTTGCAGTGTCAAATTTAGTGGAATATTCTCCAGTTTGTATCCGTTTTACCTCATACGAGCTCTATATTTTGATACAAGATGATCATAAGACGTGTCTATTATCTTGTAAATATCATATTGTGGTGCATCAGAAACTGTATATTTGCAAAAAATGAGTACAAAGTAGAGAAAATTTCACGGGATGTAGAAGATTCTATTGAATTTGACACCATAAAAGTGGACCTATAAGAAAATTCATAGTTGATGGGTGATCGTAATTATCCAAACATGAAGAGTTTTTTTCCGTAATTTGACCTTACCTCAGGGCAGGCCGTGGTTTAATTAGCCTTATTATTTTGTATTCACCTTTTTTCCTCCCTTGCAAGGGATATATTTTTTAAAATTTTATCAAATAACAATTATTGTTAATCAAATATATTGTAGATCTTGTTTACAATTAAGAGAATAAAATAACTAATGCAAATTACTTGAGGAAACTCAATTGTGTTAATTTCTCAATAACAAAATTATGATCATCGCACCACAATTATGCTTGAGAAATTATTGAATAATATATTGTTTTATATGAAGTATTGTTTGCAATGTTTTCAAAACCGGACCGGACAATGAACCGGACAAGTAACTGGGTCATGGTTGGACCGGTCTAACCGAGGTCCGACCGGGTTTTTGTATTTTTTATTTTTAATTATTTATATATAATTTTTATAATAACTATTATGCAAAAATATAGACAAAATTAACTATCTTTCACATATATTCAAACAGTGACTTGATAATTCTATTTCATTTACCATATATGCCTTTATAAATAATAATTGTTTTATATATTAATAAAAGTTAAGTAAATAAATAACAAATAAAATAAAAAATACAATAACACTTCTATCCAGTTACTAAAATATACCCTAAAGACCTAATATTGGTTTGTGAGTACTACCTCACTTTCAATTACCGCCGCCAGCCACGTTTGTACAATTTTTTTTCTTTTCTTTTTTCTCTTTCTTTCTTTCTCAAATGCTCCCCCCACCACGATATCTAATAACCCGAATTAATCATCCACGAGAGCTCCTTCAACAATACAAACATCGAAGAGAGGTATAAAGATTTTCAATTTCTTCTCAAATTTTTTTTTTTTTTTTTTTTGCACAGACCGGTTTTTAGGACCGGTTTTCACCGGTTTTCTTCGGTTCAACCGGGATTTCCACGGTTCTCGGACCATTGACCCGGGTTTTATGACTTTTCGGGTATTTAAGTTCAACCGGACCGGACTACCTGCCGGTTCGCGGTTGAACCGGTCGAACCGGCCGGTCCGGTCCGGTTTTCAAAACATTGATTGTTTGAATAATTGCAATGGATTTGAAATTAGTTTTACGTAGAGTCATTTCGAATTATTGAATGATCTGAAAGCATTCCATAAATACTCTCGTCAAACCCTAATTCTTCAATAGAAATACACTACAATTCTTTTAGAAAAAATATTGTTTAAATAATTATAGGACTAGTTGAATCATAATTGTTAGTTTTATTTCGTATAAATATTATATATTTGTATTAGATTCCGTTTTTCTCTACTGTAATGTTAAGTGATACAACAATTTGTAAAACATCATGTTTTGTACGGAAATGTAAAAAGGAAGAAAAATTAAATATATGATAATTATATTGTATTAAATAAATTCACATAGGTGTGTATAAGAGAGAGAGAAAGAATAAAAAAAATATAAACCGATTAGAATTTTGCTAGCATATTTGCAAATCTAATTTACTATGAAGGTCATTACAGACAAAAAACTATATGAATTTTGCCAGTGAATTTGCAAATCCAATTTGCTACGAAGATCATTAAAGAAAAAAAACTGAAAAATAGAAAATAGAAAAATACTAATACTTAATATTAAAAAATTACAAATATGTCATTAGAATTTCTTAGATTGACGTGACATTCCGACTTTTATATACAAGATACAAATTTCAAAACAAAAACTTAGGCAATGTTTGGAACCGTTTTGGATCTTATTTTGATTTCAGTTTGAGGAAATCTGTTTTGGGGGAATAATTTGAGAATGAAAGTAATGTTTGTTTGTATTTTGGAAGGAGACAAAATACACTGTAGAAGTCAAATCATGTTTAAAGGTGTTAGAAAAAGATATTTTTGAAGAAGAAAATTGAAAGGTGAAGTGATGTTTATTTGTTTTTTAGTGAAGACATTTTTTACTGTACCAATCAAATCATTTTAATGTAGCAGTCACATCATGTCTGGAGGAGAGAGAAACTTTTAAAATTGTTTTGAGAAAATGATTTGAAAAGTGTAATAAATCCCATTTTGTTTTGGGGAAACAATGAGAACAAAATAAAAACAGTTCCAAACATTGCCTTAGAATACTTATTTGCTAGGTTGAAATTTGACCACCACAAGTTAACACACCAAAAAGAATAAAAAAATAAAATAATAATAATAATAAATAAATAAAATTGCCCACCGGCCACCACCCCCACATAAACACAAATAACCCCACAAGGGCATTTTGGAAATTTAACTAAAATAGAGGGCATCTCTTCTACACGTCGGACTAAAGAATCCGTGTATAAATTAATCGGATTCCACCAAAGAATTGTCCAATTAAATAATTCATACTCAAATTTTATTATCAGAATAAAAAATCCAGCACCGCCCGACAATTTTATCTGCAAAAAACCCAATCTTCTTCTTCTTCTTCTTCAGCATCATCTCATCAAGGTTTTTCAATCGAACTCTATATTTTTCTCCGCGATTCATTTCACTTTGTTCAATTTCGGTGGAATTTTTTAGGGTTTTTATTTATTTATATTGGGGTTTTAAATCATTTGTTTATATATATATATATATATATTGCAGGGAGGGTTAGGTGGTGAAATTGATAGTAGGATGGAAACAGTAGCTGCTTTTCGGGCTTCTTTCAGCAGTGTTTCACCTAACTGGGCCGCTGGATCCGGGTCGGGCAGACCCGATTTGAGGCTTGCTTCTAGATCCGTGTTGTCTAATGCTTGGATTCAGGTAACGATCTTTGCTCCTATAGCTAAGAATTTGTAGGCTAGGTTTAGTAAATTGGAGTTTATCTTGCTTTTATGGTCTATTTTTTTTTTTTTTTTTTAATTTGTGTATTAACTTTTTTTGTTGCTTACTGATATATTTTTTTTTCTATTTTTTTTATAATTATATGTGAAATTATATCGAATTCGTCGTAATTGGTTAGAAATTAGTGCTGGGTGTGGGTGGGTGGTTGTTTTCTTAATCGATCTTGGTCCGAAAGGGGGTTATAGTGTTTTACATTTTGATCAAATTTTTATTTAGTGATGATCTATATAGTTGCAGTGATTTACCTCCCGAAATGCGTCGTATGGTTGTTACATGATTCTGTGGAGAATTTCTTATTTATATTTATATTGAACTGATTTCTTATCGGGGTGGTGTTGTATTGCAGCAAAGACAGTCGATTTCGCACATGAAATTTGGCAGCAGAAAGGTGGAACCTTTAAGCAAGAAGCGCACTTCAATCAGAGCATCTAAGCAATCTCCCGATTCTGGCAATTCATCAGCTCCGATTGCCCCACTTCAATTGGAGTCTCCAATTGGACAATTCCTCTCTCAGATATTAATAAGCCACCCTCATCTCGTACCCGCTGCAGTTGAACAGCAGCTCGAGCAGCTTCAAACGGACCGCGATGCAGAAAACGAGAAGGAAGATCTCTCGGCATCGGGCACCGAACTTGTACTATACAGGTCGGTAATTTATATTCCTATTTGTAAAGTGTGTTAAGTTTTCGCGAGAGGGTTTTTGTTTGACGGGAATATTCAATATTCTTTTTTTTTATTCTTTAGGAGAATTCAAGAGGTTAAAGCCAATGAAAGGAGAGAGGCATTGGAAGAGATACTGTACGCGTTGGTCGTGCAAAAATTCATGGATGTGAATATACCTTTGGTTCCTACAATTACTCCATCGTCGCCCGATAAATCGGGCCGAGTGGACACCTGGCCAAGCCAAGACGAAAAGCTCGAGCGCCTCCACTCGACCGAAGCCTACGAGATGATCCAGAACCACCTTGCCCTAATTCTTGGAAATCGCCTCGCAGATTCTAACTCGTTAGCTGAAATAAGCAAACTGAGGGTGGGCCAGGTTTACGCAGCTTCCGTTATGTACGGGTATTTCCTTAAACGCATAGACCAAAGGTTTCAGCTCGAAAAGACTATGAAGGTACTCCCACAGGGTACTACTGTCAATGAATACGAAAACATCGAACAAGTGATCGCAGACGACAAGAAAGATTCTGTGAGGAGCGCTCAAAATTCCCATCCGGAAGCTTCTACATTTTCCAGCGGGATTGGCGGCATGAGTTTCGCCGGAGTAAAGCCATCCCGATTGAGAACTTACGTTATGTCGTTTGACGGGGAGACGCTCCAGAGATACGCGACTATTAGATCGAAAGAGGCTATAAGTATAATCGAGAAGCACACAGAGGCATTGTTCGGGAGGCCTGAGATAGCTATTACACCTCAGGGTACGGTTGATTCTTCAAAAGACGAACTCATCAAGATCAGCTTTGGCGGGCTGAAGAGGCTCGTTCTTGAAGCGGTGACTTTCGGCTCTTTCCTTTGGGATGTCGAGAGCTTTGTCGATTCGAGGTACCATTTCGTTGCAAATTGAGGGTCCCCACTGACAGCTGTCGAATCTATAGTGGCTATTTGAACTTATTAATTTAGAATAATTAATATTTAGTGAAACTATTTAGTTTGAAGAAAACATACTGTGCTGTGTAAATAATGACTTTTGGCTTGAGTTTATGTAATATTTGTTTCTAGTGTTGAATGTTGATACAGCTTGGTTCTTTAATTTATTTTATGTTTGTCTCATTATAATAAAATTATATATCTCCCAGAAAAATTGTCACCCACTGTTATTTTTTTTTTTGGTGTCTGAAAATAGTGCTATAGTTGGTGATAGTTTCATTACATGGAGTGCAGTGACTATGTCTTAAGCTACTCTCTAAGTCATTTCTTCAGGTTTATGGTGTGCAGTGGTTTGCCATAAACATCATAGAAAACTATATTGGCTGCCCTTCTCGTAAGCTGAACCGAAATGAATCCTTGCCCGTCGTAGTAGAATTTCAAGTTATTCTTGAGTCTTTCGCGATGGCTAACATTACTCCACGCCCTTGACCCTCCTCCACTCGTCAGAAATTCGATCGGGCTGCCCAAAAAAAAATTAAAAAAAATAAAATATATTCGATTGGGATACATGAAAAAAAATGTTTATTTGGGTTGTATAATTCTTACACTCCGGTATTGTTGATGTGTTCGAGACAGTGGTCGTGACCATTTATGTAGATGGGAACCTTGTTTGCCTGCCAATACTTATTGAATTATTTCCGGTCCACTTACAAAATTGTGAATATTTGATCTTCGAGTCGGCATCTTATTTTAGCAACCAAACGAGGCCCTATTACAGTTTTTTACCTGTAGAATTGGTAGAAGGAGCTGAAGGAGTTCTGAAGTGTCGCCTCGTGCTCCGATGCTTCTTACAGGATGGTGCCCGACAACGATTTTCCAGGTAGCCTTTGATGTCCTCAATGATGTCTTGAAATCCTATTGAATAAATATAATAACGAAAAAATCGAACTCCATTAATTTCTGTAAATCGATCGAAACTTATATATCAAAACCTTGTAAACTTCGAAAGATGAATGAATATATAGAACTTACCCTTATAAGGTTAGAGAGGTATCTATTTCGAGGCAATATGCCTTTCCAGTTAAACTTATTGACTTTGGCAAAATACTTGGTCACGAATGGAGTTGTGTCGATGAAGAAAATATCTAGGAAACCTGTAAGGGGTGTTATCGTAATTATTCATAAATTTCAAAGCCGACAAATTTTGACGAATGTCACCAAAAAAATGAAAACATTCGTAGTTTTAAAGCTATTCAATTATTATTACCGGCTCGAACAATGTAGGACCTGTGACAGTTCCATCTTCTGTCTCGTCTTTTGAGCGCAGGATTCAGTTGCGCCTCGGTATTCCCATGATAATCATGGTTTCCCAATACTGCATTAATAGACAAATAAAACTTAGGGAGAAAACAAAATATTCAAAGATTCTATTTTTGTTCATTGAATAATGAGTGTTATTTTGGAGGGTACAGTAGAACCTGATAAATTAATAATCCCGTTCAAATAATAATTTATCCCGGTCCCGACTCGATGAAAACGCTCGATAATTTAATATTTCGCTAAATTAATGGAATTTTACTAGTCCCGACTGTATTAATTTATAGAGATTTAAGTGTACTTACTTGCATACCAAGGTCTTTGGAGGCTTCTTGCAGTGTAGATTTTGGTAAATGATTCTGTAAAAGCAGAATCATTAACACCAGTTAATCCATGTTTGTAGAAGTTATCACCAGTTGACACTACAAAGTCAATGCCCAGCTTTGCTCCTATCTCTCCCATCTGCATTCATTTCAAGAAAATTTAGTACACATTTGGTTCATATTACACTAAATCTAGTGTTATTTACAATGTGCTCCTTGAGGTTACGTCTAATTACGCTGTGACCCCGTAAAGTTTGAAAATTACCCCGATCTTGGCTCGGTTAGAACATTAATTAGGTTTGTTTGGATCACAGAGGTAAAATACTAAGTAAAATGATTGGGGGACAGATGCGAAAGTATTTTGCGACGGAAACAAGAACAATACATTTTGCTACAAAAACGAAGTGAGGAAAACTATATGGCAATAAGTTTTCGGGGTTTTTTTTTTCTTTTTTCAATTTCAATTCCCATTCGCCTTAGAAGACATGCAATTGTCGGAGTAGTTTACTTCCATGGCATAGTCACAACAAAAATGTCTACTTAGATTAAAAAAAAATGATTTTCCACAAAAAAATCGATTTCATGACCATTTTCCTTAGAAACCAAACAAAAGATACTAGAGATTTTCAAAAAAAAAAAAAAAGATATATTTTTTTCATTTTCCTTAAAATCAAAGTCCATGAACCAAACAGAGTCTTGTCATTTTTTATTTTTGTTTTCTTGCGAAAATCAAATCTCGAGGGAGGTGTGGGAAATTTTTCGAACACTATGCGGATGTAGGTGTAATTATACCTAATTGTGGCTTCTAATTCCTAGGATATATACGTAAGAGAAACTCATTTAACAAAAAAAAAATGTAACCTTTAGAGCGACAGCGGATTGATTGAAAGCTCCCTTTCTTCCCCAATCTCCGACAGCCAAAAAAGTTATAGGCCCGTTAAATCGAGTCCGTTGAACAATTTGCGTAAGTCTAGCTTCGACAGTTGCTTTCATTAGACATACACAAACTACCAACAATGACAGCAAAGTGATACAAATTCTGTATTTCTCAGCCATTATAGCTGTATTCTGTTTTTTTTTCTTGCTAATGTGATAGCTTCTGAGATGTGATATTTTCTATCTTTATATATATGTTTTTTATGGATTGGAAAAAAGGTTGTTCAAATTATATAGGCAGTTTTTATTCAATGCTTGTTGATAAGGTTATTTGTATCAGTATCTAACTTTTTGTTGTATAGATTGTGTAATATTTAATCTCACCATTTCTTCTTGTGAAAAAAGAAATTTGAACACATGAATTTCATCTCATCTTTTTGTTTTTCCTCTTTACAATTTTAGATATGTACTCATTTAATTAATAATCTTTGGATTGTTTAATTTTCTTTTCTTCATTCTTGATAAAATCTTGTCATTCATAACAATCAGCGGTCTTGCAGATTTTGCACACGGTGAAATACACTAAGTAATTTTGCACTGTATATCTTCACATAATCACGGATGTATACAGAGTGAGTAGTTTTGTATGCACGTGCTTATGTTTTCGGATTGTTCATGTGTTCACATTGATATGGATACTTGACTTTTTTTTCTTCTCATTCTCCATAAAAATCTTGTCATTCATAAAACCAGTAGTTTTGTGAGATTTTAGCATCCGACACCCCTGTATAATGTATAATGGCTAAAAAAACTTATGTTAAACAATTAGCACATACCCCCTATGTTATATAGTCAACGACATTAAGGTCCCTACGAACTGGTCGTGTGATACATTTGCCGAATTTGTGACTGGGGTTTGATTTTTGGACGTGAAAAGATCCAAATACCATTTACATTATAAATTTCAAAAAATTAAGCCCCAAATAAAGTTTTCAAAATTTTCAATTCAGTCCCTTGAAGTTTCAGAAAAACGATCTTCTTTCTTAAGTCGACTGATTTGCAATTTTCCAAAAATACACTGAACATAGCTGACCGCCGCTCTCCTTCCAGCGAACACTTTCTCCGGCCTCACCTCCCTCCATATCCTCAGCCTCCGCTTCGCCCCACCACTCCAGCATTTTCTCCGACAAATTCAGTTCGATTTGGAGCTAAGATTCAAGCTTTATTCGGAGATGACCATGGTGGAGCAGAGGAGAGATCTATATATGGCGGTGGAGATGGGAAGAATGGTGTTGGGTTGCATATAGATGACTGCTTATTTTTATTACTATTTTTTTTTATTTATTTTTTGTAGATGACTGCTTATTTTAAACAAATACAATTGATTTAAAAAAGAAAAAAAAAATCGATCTTCTTCTCCCCAGACCACCCCAACCTCTCCATCAAATCCTCCGCCGCCGAATCCTTGAGCTTAAGCTCCGTTGGTTGCCGAAAGACATAGCATCTTTTCGTAGAAGAACCAGAGCAAATAGGTGAAAAATAAAGGGAAGAATGAAGCCTGCTGTTGCTGGAGCAAAGCCCTTCCGCCGGTTGAACAGTCACCGGTGTTAGAGAATATTATATTATAGAACTCTTGTAATATTAGGATTCTAGTATGATTGAGTTACCTAGATTAGTTAGGATTTAGTTACCTAGTTAAACTCTATTACCTTGCATTATTTCTCTATATATATTATATGTAATCAACCCATAACATAATGGGGGTTTCTATTCTATTACGTATTATTATTTCTATCCTTCTCTAATTCTATTCTTTCTATATGGTATCAGAGCACCCGGTTTAGGTTTTTTTTTTTTACCTAGCCGCCTTTCTTCTCCATGGCGGTGATAACCTAGCCGCCTTTCTTTTCCATGGCGGTGACCACCCGATTTTCTCCCTCCCCCGGTGGTGGTACTCTTAATATCTTTCTTTTTCTATCATTTCTATGAACACCACCCGAATTTTCTCCCTCCCCGGTGGTTCTCTATCTTTTCTGTTCTTCTTCTTCTCCATGGCCTATGGCCTAAAACCTAGCCACCGCCTCTCTTCTTCTCCATGGCCGGCGACCACCACCCCAATTTCTTCCCTCCCCCGGTGGTGGTGCATCATCTCTGTCTTTATCAGTTCTTCTTATTATCCGACATCTTCTTCTTCTTAGTCGGTTAATCTAATTTTTTCTCTCATATCTTTCTCTCTATCTCGATAAACAAAAAAAAAAAAAAGTTTCTTATTTTTCTCACCCGTTATTATTACTATTATTATTTTTATCAATTGGACATATATTTCCACAGAGGAATTCTCTAGCGTTGTGTTTTGCGGTTTCTGTCACTTTTGAATTTTATTCGTTCCGACTGCGGGAGCGTGCTAGCAAGTCCAGTCTTCACGTTCGTCACGTTTCGACTGCGGGGGCGTGTTAGAGAATATTATATTATAGAACTCTTGTAATATTAGGATTCTAGTATGATTGAGTTACCTAGATTAGTTAGGATTTAGTTACCTAGTTAAACTCTATTACCTTGCATTATTTCTCTATATATATTATATGTAATCAACCCATAACATAATGGGGGTTTCTATTCTATTACGTATTATTATTTCTCTCCTTCTCTAATTCTATTCTTTCTATAACCGGATCTGAAAAAACCGCCGGAAGGAAGATTCTCTGGACTTTCAGCGGTAGATTTTGTGAAAAAAATTACAATTCAGTCCCTAGTTTATTTTTTTTCTTTTTAGGTTCTTCTCGGTTATTTTTTGTTTTTTTCATTTTGTTTTACGTTGTATTTGAACGAGGGTAGTATAGTCACTTTATTTTAGTCAACATATTTATTTCAACTAGAGGCAGTGAACTAAATAAAATGCAACATAAAAGGTTAATTGCTAATTTTTTTAATATATGGTTTTTTTTTAGCCATTAGAGATTACACATGGGGTTTGTGCAAATAACTCCAGTTTTGTAGATGCTTACACAAAGTGAAATACATCAAATAATTTTGTATTGTGTATCTACATATAATCGCACACACACTGAGCAGTTGTCTATACACCTGATTATGTTTTTGGATTGTTCATGTGTTCACATTGATATGGATACTCGATTTTCTTTCTTTTTTTCTTCTCGTTTTTGATAAATTCTTGTCACTTATAACAACCAGTGATTTTATAGATGCTACACACAATGAAATATAATAAATAATTTTGCACTGTATATCTACACATAATCACACACATACATGTGGGTATATATATACAGAGTGAGTAGTTGTGTATACTCGTGATTCCGTGAAGTTCACCTAGTGTAGCTTCTAACGAACAATAACCACACAAATTATTGTCTCGCTGTCAAAATCTTTGTGATTATGTAGTTGTTAATCTCATTTGATTAATGATTTTAAAAGCAACAAACCTAAATTTTGCAACCATCTCTTATCACTAAAGAGCAACAAGAAAAATAGCAACACTTAATTATCTTCATTAATCACCAAAAACAACAAGATCACTTGTTATATCATGGTTAAACCATGGTGTTAATTTTATATATAGGTTTTCCCGAAACATCGTAAAATGCTATCTTCGCCTTATCATACGTAATCTCCACAGACATGAACCCTTGACCATCATAATAAAAGTGTGTGCTGTCATTGTGATTTTTGTAGTGAATCTCGTTTTTCCATGCCTTTGAGCCTCCCCCACTCGTGAAGAACTGCATCGATCTGCATTAAAAAAAAAACTCGGTAAATGAGGAATAAAATATCGAAATCTTCACTTTTATTAATGTTTTATTAAATTGAAAAAAAAAATAGCAAGTGTGTAATTAATACCCTTCTTCATTGCTCAGATGCTCCAAGCAGTGGTCGTGTCCGTTTATGTACATCTTCACCTCGTTTTCCTTAAAAAAAGTTTCAAAAAAATTAAATAAATTGAATATTGTATAGTTTTTATAAACATTTAAATTTATTATAAGTTTGTTACATATATATATACCTCGAGAATTGGGAGAAGGTGAGTAACAATTTCCTCAGTGTCACCATGCGACCCGATGCTTTTCATCGTGTGGTGGCCCACAACAATTTTCCAGGGAGCCTCCGATTTCTTGAGCGCCAAATCCAGGTTCTATTACATAAAAAATATCCGAGAATTTTACGAGTTTTCTTTCGATTAAAAAAAACATAAAATGGTGATGCGTAAATAAATAAAGCTTACTCTCGAAAGGTAAGACATATATTTGCCTCTTGGCAATACATCTTTCCAATCAAACCTCTGTTTCTTTGGATTTTCAAAGTACTTGTCCACAAACGGAGTCGTGTCGATGAACACAATATCGAGAATTCCTAGCCATTAATTAAAATTCGTAAAATTAATTAGTGCCTAAAAAAAATATCGAATTTGAGATAAATATATATTTGTATATACCTGTTTCAACAATGAAGTTTCTCATACAATGCCACCGATTATCGATTTTTCTAAGTACCGGGCTTAACTGAGCTCCGGTGCTCCCCATATAATCGTGATTTCCCAACACTTCTCGTTTTTGCGCGCGCCAAAAAAAAAAAAAATCGGATTGAAAATTATATATAATTAGTTTTACGAAGAAAGAAACATAGGTTAATTAATTAGTTTAGAATGCATGAGATTAAGATTGAGAAAATTATTACCAATGTACCATGGAATTTGAAGGCTTTTGGCTGTGTAAATGTTGGTAAACGATTTTTTAAACATCGGATCGTTTACGCCTTTTAATCCCGTGTAGTAGAAGTTATCACCGGTCGAGATCACAAAATCGATTCCCAATTTCTTTCCAATCTCTCCCATCTATAAAACATATATGTGACATGCATATATATATATAGAAATCATCAATATTAAATTAAATTTAATGATAAATTAAATAACAATAGCTAATAATTAATAATAAAAAAAAAGTGACCTGAGTAGCAACTCTAGATTGATTGAAATTTCCACCTCTTCCCCAATCTCCCACCACGAGAAACGAAACCGAACCCCCGTTTTTTATGCTAGTGTGTTCGATTGTTGGAAATTCTGCCGAATTTCTTGCTATGTGAATACATAAACAAGTTATCGACAAAGACCATTTCAAAATGGAGCTACTACTACAAAAGTGATAAGCCATTTATGCAGTGTAAGAAAACCTGTGCAGAGAAATCGAATATTTATAAGCATGCAAAATAAAAATAAAAG